GCCCCCCTTGGCAATTACACCGGCTTCAAATGTTATTTTCAAGCAAGAACCTTTCCGCCGCTTCTACTTAGTTTTTTTGGACAAAACAGGCATAGCGTTCTGTTTGTATGACACATTTCTTTGGATTTTTATACCTCTCATACAAGAGCAGTGAGATGATGCACCATATATGAAAAAGGGTGGAATTAGTGTGCCGATTGAGAGCTTAAATTAAAAAATTCTACCATCTCTCCGTGAGTCAGTTTTCCATGATAAAAACAACTTTTTGAAAATACCATTCTTCCATCTAACCTAAGTACGCCGGAAAATGAGTTGGTTACATAATTTCAGTTTGTGAGTTCTTAATCGTGTAAACTCTAAACTCTATACACTATGGACTAGGCATTCGAAGTCCAACAGATGTTCTTAAAACTACGTATATGAATTATTTTTAGCATTAACGAAAAAATGATGGTACTATTGATTTATGGCACAAACTGATTTTACCAACAAAATCGCGGTTATTCTCGATAGGGCTTTTCTTCGTTTGTAAACTGTCCGACTAAAATGGAGCCGTTTGCGCACTGAATTTCACTATTTACAGGGAGGCTTAAAAGAACTACGTACATAACGTATACGAGAAAACGAGAGACAAAAAAAAGGGAATTTGTTTAAGCTGATTTGATCTCAAAATGTTGTGTACATTGATCAGCGCATTTTTAACTATCATTTATTGAGTCGTGTCAGGGCCTTTTTGTCAGTTTTTGTCAATTTCGAGCGATTCTCTCCAGAATTTAGACAGACTCGGGAGTCACTCAATTCAATCAGCAAACAGTGATGAAAGGACAGTTCGTTTTCTCTTTTGTGATATGATTAACATGATTGTCAATGGAAAGGTAATATAGAACGTGTACAAAAATAATAGTTCATTGAAAACCCTAAACGGAATAGAATATTTTCAGTGCTGGATTTTTGTTTTAGCTTGTTATTTGACTGGAGAATTTGTTACAATTAGGCTTTCAGGGGCATTTATATTCAAAGCATTTTCGCTGCAAGAGTTGAAAAGAGGTACACGTTGAGAGTATGAGTTTGGACAAGGTTCCAGTGACGAGTAAAGTAAAACAATGTATAGCAGCATGGGTAGGAAAGCAAAAACAAAAGTCTGCCTAAATAAAGTTGACTTGACTTGAAAACAAAACAAAACAACAACAACAAAAAAACAATGGTGAAAGGGGTACTCCCTGTAAATATGATGTGGATGACTCATAGATGGTTAAAAAACTCCCCAAGGAATTCCAGAATCTCGTTTTGTGAACAACGTTTGTGAAGGAGCGCATTTTTGGTCAAGCGCGTGAACATTTTCATTGTACCCTAGGGCAGTTAATTATGGCTTAATACGAGCTTTGTCGTAATTTCCAAAATATTCTAGGGGTAGTATTATCTTCTTGTTTTTTTCTTACATTCATGCCATTTTGTCGCTTATGTCTGTTGCAATTTATTGACCCTGTAGTACCATTCGACGTGTGCAATCGATCAAATCATTTATCGATGGCATTCGAAAGCAATAGGTAAAAATTGATTTAAAGTTGAATTGAAAGTCCATAAAAGAACGATAGGGAAAGATCATGTTCTTACCAATCGAGGATTATCAATTTTTCAATTACAGTAGAACATTCATGTGCCACCACCTCTCGTAAGCGACCACCTATATAAAGCATAAACATTTCCCGGTCAATTCACTACATTTGGAACCTCTCGTAAACGAACACCTCTCGTGAACGACCGTGACCACATGAGAACGTATGAGAACTATTTGTGACAATTTGAGAGACCACTTCCCGTAGGCGATCGCTAAATCTTCGCCATTTTGGATGGTCGCTTACTGGAGTTTCGATTTTTATCAAGAGTTTTCAACGTGTTTCATCGAAGGGAAATATTAGAAGAGTACAGCTTCATCTATAATTCATTTGCTTCTTCCCTAAACGTTTCTAGAAAATTGCTTCATCATTTTTATTGCTTAATTTAGACGGATAAATGTTAGCGATATCTATTTTACAAATAACACTAAACATTCCAACGAACAGGTAATATTTTAAAATTGACAGGCTAGCTAAAAGTTAAGCTTGAACGAAGGAAGTATAATATACTCAACTGATTTAAAAAACTATTCAAATTGAACAACTGTGTCTGTTACTCCGCAAAATGTAACAACTTTTGACGCAAAATGTATCATTAACCCGAAATGTAACAACTTTTTGGCGCGAAATGGAACAATTTTTTAACGCAAAATGAAACAACTCGGATTTTTAAACATGAGATGCATCAACGTGCACTTTAACAGCCCTTAAATAACTGAGAGCACTGGACATGGACCCTGTTATTAAACTATAAATTGTGTGGTGGTAAAAAAAAAGCATTATTTCTTAACTTTTCTGATAAAAGCAATTAAACTCACAAAACAAGTCCTGAAAAATGCACGTAGTTACAAGTCACCTGGCCTCGGAGAGGTAGTATAATGCTAAATTAATTTTCTTTGGAGTATGCTTTACTCCCTCCCTTTTGAAAATTTATCAGTTCAATCGACAGTTGAAATGTTCAGCTAAGAATATCAATTAATTAAGAATTATCGATAGTTATCGATTAGCATTGATTGGTTTTCCGCTTTCTCATTTTATTGATCGCATGCGTCGTAGTACCAAATCTAACTGAAACCTTGCAGTAACACAGAAATGATTTGTTAGTTTATGTCAAGTATTTTGCTTTTCCGCGTGTTGCCAAAAAATCAAAGTCAAAGGTGGCCGTTTTCGACGTCTTGAAGGTAACAGAAATTCAATTTTTTTCGTATAGTATCACTGCTTTTTAGTTTAAAAGTTGATGAGTAGGAAGTAACTGAGATGTTACTGATTGTTTAACTAATGCTCTTCTTAATCCTGATAAGAAACTGGAGAATGGTGAGGGGAATACTCTTTCCATAATCAAAGAAATGTATGAGCAATACACTACCATTGCTAGAGCGCGATAGACTGATTTTGTTGAAGGTGGCTAAAGACGGTTTCTCTAAAAATGCTTTATCTCTTTACTTAAAACATGTTAATCGTGAGGAGATATGCAGCCAATGAGCCTTTAAGAAAAAATGTGCGGGAACAAGTTGGGAAAAATTCCCAGAAGTTGTCAGTAGAAATTTATTCCGTTTCGTCATTTTTGACATACAACGTGATCTCAGGGCGCGCCCATATCTTTACTATGCGAACTTTGGGAGCAATGTGATAGCGCTTGCTTTGCTGTTTATCAAAGGCAATGTAAACAAATCTAATTAAAATTTGACGAAATTTGGTAGAAATCCCGTTCGTGTCGCTCTTTAGTCAATGACATTCTCAAAATAACAGTTGACAAAAGCATTTTGTGATACAATCAAGTTTTTCATCAAAGCGATTTCAAAAACTGTTAGTAACAATTTTCATTTGTGAAGTTCTTTTGTAAGAAATTGAGGATATGGGGTTACTAAATATAAGCTGTGTGTAAATTACATGTATTAAGAAAATCTATTGACTAGTTTTTGCGTTAAACTACTTAATTCAGCTCGCGTGGCAGGCGTTTGAAGGGGAAGGAAAAGGGGCAATGGCCGCGCGCGCCAACATAACGGTGCGTCCGAATAAGTGTAATCTAGAGCAATTGGATAATTGAACAGTACAATAGGCGCAGAAACGGTAAACGAGCAGAAAAGAATGACATTGTTACCATCAATTGAGCAGGTGTGTGGCGTCCGGCAAAACATATATCGGCACAGAAGAAAAGCACAAAGGCCGTCATTTTGATTTGAGAGTGCGCGCGGTGTACCAAAGCATTACCTAAGCGACGATGACCCTCAAACCAACAGTGATTTGGGGGAATTAAGGAAGGCCATTACATAAAGGGCGCGTATTAATTTCCTCTATTCCCTAAGATTGCCTCATTTCATTTCAGAGAAGTCGATCTGTAGTTATCTCTTATAGTGTGTTTTCTCATGACGTCACGTCCGCCATGTCGGTGTCACAGAATAATTCTTTGGGTGTTGAACCTTTTTCTTATGTAAAAAGTTTCTTTTATTCCTGGCCTACTGAGTGAAAAGGCTCTATTGAGAAGATTTAGAGACCTCAAAAACTTGACTTACACAGAAAATCTTGGTATATTCTTAAAGGCTCTGTTGGTCGCTTTTAGTATAAGTTATGCGTTTACGGTTTCCGTTCACACGGGAACGATCGTGAACAACACTATTTGTAAATGGTCTCCAGAGTTGATATTTCCGGATAAAACTCGTTCTCACGCGTAGACAGCTGTAAATCCAGCCTGCGTAGCTGGCGGGATTTATCGCGCGCTCCTGCTTCAGTCAACAGGTGCTGTTATTGTTTTTGTTCAGACTGTAGCCGTAACGACTTGGCCGCTAAAAAGCGCTAATCCACTCTGATTGCGCCATCTATGTAGGATACTGGGAATGCACAAGTTTTTAGGCTCTTTAAAACTTTAACAGATTTATGTGCACATATGTAGCATAAAAGAACAACCTTTGGTCAATGTCATGTTTTTTGACATGCAAATTTCCTGTGCACTCGTGCTGCCTATAATCGTTTCTAAGTAAGGTGTTACTTTCACACATAACAAACATGTGGGATAGACTTTGAACCGGTTTAAAAACGTTCTATAGCTCTTTGGGTCGATGTCTAATCTTAGCGTCTCCTAAAAAAGAAGTAGATTCTAGAAAAGAAATTTATAAGTGCCCAAACGTGAAACTTGGCAATGAGAGAGGGAATCCTGCTGCGACATGGAGGGTCGGATGGAGGTTTTGCGAAAAATTTTTAAGAAATTACTTCTATGATGGTTCACGTGCATAAATAAAACCACGTGACAAGTCAGTTGAATAGCTTGACACCGTTCGTGATTCAGAGACCTATTTACATTTTTATTTCAACTCGGGTTATTCACTTTTGCAGGAAGCATTCTGATACCACAACAGAAGTAAAGAGATCACCACTAGTGAACTGAAAATGGCAGATAGTTCAAAGTCGACGGGATTAGAAAAGCCGATGGCCAACACCAAGAATGATCCGAAAAAAGAGTCGAAGAAAAAACGTAAACAAGGCAAAAAGTTTCGGGCAAAATTCACCGAGGGCACCGAGGAAAAAAGCCAGGAATGTCCCACTCTGGTTAGCGACGAACAAAACGTTGAAGGAAGTCACGACGTTTCTGAGGCAAATGTCGAAAAAAGTAGCCAAATGAGTGCAACGAACGAGGAGACGGAAAAGACCGCAGAGAAAGGTGAAGATTCTAGTGCTAGTCACAGCGACCAAGCGACCGGAGCCGGCGCTGGTGAAACAGAACAGGAGAATAAAACTAAAGAAAAATCTACAAACAAGAACAAAGAATCGAGTGGGGAACAGAGAAAGTCTATTGTCGAACAAGTCAAACAGGATCAGACTGATGGAAGCAAGAAAAACAAGCGTTCGTCCTTCATTTTACTCCGCTCGAAAAAAAATTCTAAAAGCAGACCGGAGTCATCCGCTGAAGTTATTGACGCTGAGGACATGACAGATGAAACTGGAATTTGGACTGGAGAAAGCGACAAAATCACCAGACATGAATACGAAACAATTGAATTAAAAACGGACGGAAACGGTGAAAGTCAGATCGAACAAGGTGCAAAACCCGAAGAAGTGAAAAGCAAGGAAGCAGAGAGTTCTCTCGAGGGAACGCAAGAAAAGTCGGTTGGTAAAGGCAACAAAAGCAAGAAAGTGAAACATTTGCCAAGCTTTGGGCGTAACAAAAAGAAAGCGGTAATTACAAACAAGAATAAGGATGTCGAAGTTCCTGAAAACGAAACTCAAGAGTCGAAAGACGAAGATACAAAAGGGGAAGTTTCTGAGAAGGTCGTGATCGAGTCAAATGAGCCTGTTCTTGTTGACTTTGACTTGAAAGAACCGAGCGCTGTCGTTGAAGCAGCTGAAGTAGAGGGAGAGAAGAAAGATGAAGAAACAACGAAGAAAAAGAAATCGTTTCTCACCTTGAAGAGAAATAAAAGCCAGGCAAAAAAGAGGAAGTTGGCGAAAGGTGAAGATGAACCGAAAGCAAAGACCAATGAAAGCGAGGTCGATTCCGCCGGTAAACAAAATGAAGATGTCAGCGGCACGGATGGTCAACATGGAGAAGCAGAGGGTGCAATTGAGACTGAAGAAAATAACTCTGAAAATAAAGAAGAAGAGCCAAGCGTAAAGGAAACAAAAGACGTAGAACCGCAGGCAAAGGAAACGTTAGAGGCGTACGGAACAGAAGAGGTGTCCGTTGACAAAGAAACCAGTTTCCCGGAAGGAAAAGAGGAGAAAGCTACAACAGTCGAAGGAACGGGACAAGATTCATCAAATAAAAATAAAAAACCAAGCATTTTGCGCTCGTTTAGAAAGTTAAAAAAATCGAAGCAAGGAAAGAAAAAGCAGCTTGAAAAGGAAGAAAAACAAGAGAAGATTGATCAAGAAGACGGTGGGGAGAAAGTCGGCAAAGAAGATGCAACTGTAGAGAGTGGAGAGATGGTCGACGGAAAAAACGAAGGACGTTCTGATAATGAAGAGGGAACACCCCAGGCAGTGAAGAGAAAGACAAGCGATTTGAAGAATATTGGGCTTAGCCAAGCTCAGAAAAGAAAGAAGGAAGACGGGGAAAATTTCGTTGAAGATATATCAGATGTTAAAGAAAGCAGTGAGCCTGTTGAGGAGGAGAAAGACTTGAAACAGCAAGATCAGGATAGATCCGAAGAAACTGTCACTTCAAGAACCGAGGAAAATGAATTAAGTCCTCAACAAAAGGAAAAACTGTCGCAACAAAAGAACAATGAACAAGAGCAAATTGAAAACGAAGAAAGCGAAGAAGAGGATGAAAATCCACGCGTGTTTCCCGCGAGCGATGACACGCGTGATGAAGAGATTTGGAAGGAAGCTCACGAACTGCGTAGTTCGCTAATGAAAATAGTCAAAGATGTCAAAGAGATGAAAGAAACCGAGGGAGATGATGAGAACGAGACACAAGTTGAGAAAACTGAAGTTGTCGAACTAAACACCGACAGCGAAGGTGCTTTAATTGGATCGCAAATGGAGGCGGGTGAAATTGATGAAAACGAGGCTGAAACATCTGCAGAAGGACAAGACGCAGAACAAGACTTTGACGATAAATCGTACGAATCAGCCATCACAGTCGTGTCCGTCGAGCAGTTGCCAAGTCAAGAAACAAAGATCGTGCGCGATGGTATGCCACTCGACAAGGAAGGAGCAACTGCGCAAATCGAGACTACACAAGTCACTGATCCTGAAGTCGAACCAGTGGCAGAAAATTCCGAAACTGGGACATCGGACTTAATCAAGGAGACATCACGAATAGAAAACACAACAGAACCAAAGACCGAAGAACCCAAAGAACACTCGGAGACCGAGACATCACAAGTCACCGAGCAACCAAGCGAAGAAGAGAAACTTAAGATTGACCCATCTTTGGATGTCGAAGAGGAATCGTACGATTCTGATTCCACAATCGTGTCGGTCAAGCAAATGCAAAGTGAGGAACCACAAATCGGAGAGGCAGTTTCACAGGCCGAGAAAATAACGGAACCGAAGGCCGAAAATCCTGAAGATGTTTCGGAGCCCAAGAAAAANAAACTTAAGATTGACCCATCTTTGGATGTCGAAGAGGAATCGTACGATTCTGATTCCACAATCGTGTCGGTCAAGCAAATGCAAAGTGAGGAACCACAAATCGGAGAGGCAGTTTCACAGGCCGAGAAAATAACGGAACCGAAGGCCGAAAATCCTGAAGATGTTTCGGAGCCCAAGAAAAAACAGTTACAGGGAGAACAAACATTAGAACTAAAGACTGAAGAAGCTGAAGAACAAAGAGAAACAGAAATATCAAAAGTCAGTGAGTCACCAAAGGAAGAAACCGAACAGCAGACAGCAGAACCCGAAGATACCCCGCCAACCGACAAACCGCTGGACTCGGAATCACAAGTTCATCAAGCAAATAAAGTTGAGACTTCAGACACTGAGGAAATACGAGCCATCGCCGAAGAAACAGTGCTGGAAAGCGAGGGTGACGGGCCAAAATTCGCAAACAAGACCGAATCAAAGGATGTAGATGCTGAAGAAATGCAAGTCAGCAAGGAAGCCGACTCAATGAAAGCCGAAGATAACAAAGAACCGAAGACGGACACCGGAAAACCTCAAGTCATCGAGCCAAAACTGCAACAAGAAGCCAGCTTGGACACGTCACCAGTTTCAAGGTCGCAGGCTGAACAAGAAACCGAGCGAAAGACTGAAGATACCGAAGAGACACAAGCCATTCAAGGAATATCTTCAGAAAGCGAAGTGGCGACATCACGTGCCGAGTGTAAAGCCGAACCGAAGGAGGGAAGCACCGAAGGAAAACAAGCAATCGACAAAGAGCCAGCCTCGGAGAAGGTGAAATCGAAAGCAACCAAAACAAGCACGAAAATGGATAAACTGCTTCAAAGGCGTATAGTGGAGAGTGTTTTAACAGAACCGGAAAATGACGAGAAAAATGCCGATGAGGAGATTGTCATGGAGCTGACTGAGAAGAAAAGCAAGAAAGACAAGAAATGCGAAAAGGAGACCTGGGTCATGGTACAGCACTTTGAAATGACCGATGATTATCGAGCTGTCAACCCAGTGTACGAGTGTGAGTTACGGAAGTTTTCTTGGTGGTGGACAACATGCTAATACACTAACACACTTCTTCACTTAAGTCTACACTGACTGGAACGTCAACTTTTTGTGCGGCGCTGAAAGGCACTACTTTGCTTCGTTATTACTGAACTGAACAATGCTTTACGATCTTAAGAACAATGCTGGGAGGTTATGGATGGGAGAGTGTTTCTGGATCTGACCGTAGACTGCTGTTAAGGTACCAGACTGGAGCGAGGTGAACTTAATTGTCCTATTGACTCTGCAAACTAAGTTATTTACATTCACAAGACTGTGCAGGTGACGATTCCAGAAATTAAATTGGCGTGGCGTCCCATAGAATTATGCCCCAAAGGTACCGAATAGGTACGCAAGGAACTGATATTGCTCCAAGGACTTTGATCACTTAAACGGACGCTAAGTAAAATTTGGATGAAGAATAGGCCAGTTTCGAATTCACAAAATTCATATATTACCTCCAAGGCAGAGCGGAATAAAACAAAAAAGAAATGGATTATTCATCCATGAATCTCAATGCAATGTCTTTTTTTTATGCCCCTAGCCTCAGAGCCAATTGTGAATTTTAATCATTCAAAACTGGCCTATTGCAGTTTCAAATACTGAACCTTGTTTCTAAAAAAAAAAGCGAAGACATTTCGAGCCTGGAGAAGTTTCTACCGATCGAAAAGAGGTTCAAACATTTAGTCCTAGGAAGAGAGAGCTCGATAACATATTTCGGTAAAACAGGATTCAGATTTGGAGTCAACGACAGCAAAAATCAAACCTCCATAGGTGAACTGATCAGGCTGCGTAATGAATAGAATTTCGGGCATGAAATGTGTTCTTAAACCAATATTATTGGATTAGAACCTTTTCTAGTTGTAGCATGCTTGTAGCTTTAAGTCTGCGCATGTAGATTTTTCCGATGCTGTTTTTGTTCGATATGTTACAAAACGCAAATTGGTAGGATTTTTGGTTTTGAATGGTAAAAAAATATATGTCACTGTGTGATCGTAGTTTAAATTGAAGTTGATGAGAAACTGAGAATAGATTACCTATTGTTACGCCTGTTCCAAGCGTTCAAATAGCAGCATTTTATGCGAATATCAGTACCGCCTCTACACACCCCCTATCAAAACTTTTACATTGTCACGCCTTATACAAAGTGTTAACACGTGATTATGCTACCGATATTTTTATTAAGGAGAGGGGATTTTAAATGTCTTTCCAACACGATAACAACAAAAAGTAGGCTAGTGAAAGTCGATAGATTACAAGATTTGCAAATTTAGAAAGTCTTTTTGGCAACATTTGCATACAGTGCAGACTCTGTTCCAGGTTCCAAGATATTTTTGTGCAGAAACTGATGCAAAAAGAAGCGGAGGCTGGGAATGAGAAGGCGCACGTATTTTCCCTTAGCTTGTTTTGCAACGTTCATACTCCTCGAGAGCCTGGCACAGATTAAGTTTCGAGCAGTTTGTTAAGCTCTTTTTCTCCGTGCAGCCTTACTTCACCCACTCAGTAACTATTTGAACGCTTGCAACAGGCTTTCATTTACCGTAAGGTTTTAGTTTAAGACATGGGAAAGAAAAATTCGCCATTTGCACATCTCCAGTAATACACCTTGTTTGCGCCCCCCAAATTTTGCATATGCATTGTTTTCAGTTTTTCTTGGGACGTCTGTAATACTCAGGAGAAATAAAAAAAAAACAAATTATTCAAAATTGGGGGCGGGGGGGGCGGGGGGGGGTAAACAAGGTGTATTATGGGAGATGTGCAAATGGCGAATTTCTTAACTTGATTTGTTAATCCAACTGATAAGTAAAACCCGGAAATTTCAAGGAAAATATTTGAGATAATCAAGATTAAGTGAGAGTATTGAATAAGCTAACGATATATACTCAAAAGCTATCAAGTTGACACAGGATCTAATAATGTTTAGAAACAGTGTGGAAAAATTAATCTCTTTACTGTTGTAATACAAAAACACAATGAAGACAGAGAAAGAATTTCGGGAAATTTGTAACCGGTGATAGATTCTATTTATTGGAATTTACAACATAATTATTTATAGCTTGGGCTTGTATTGCATACTACTTTTTCCGCAATAAATATATTTTGGAACGAAAAAGAACACTGCAGTTTACTCGGATTACGCTGGTGAATATATAACGGTTATCGACCTTCGCACTCAATTTGCAACGGGGCAGGGGTGGGGGGAGGGGCAAATGATCACAACAATTCGATGGACCGTTGCTGATTTGCTGGACTGTTCATAGTCCCCTATTTTTCCATAAGATCGTCGAGACCGAGCGATTACCGTTATGGGCGTCCATGTGGGATTCAAATTTCCGAGGGGACGGTTGTCGGTGTTTGTAACGGTGGGAGAAAGGTGCCCTCCTAACAAACGTCCCCCGCCTTTAAAGGTGATGTTACACGGGACGATTCGCAACGACGATTTTTAGCGAGGCACAGCATCACAACACTGTTGCGACATTGTTTCGAATGGTTACAACATTGTTCCAACATTGCTGTGTTGCGCTCAAAATCGTCGTTGCGTCGTTGCGAATCGTCTCGTGTAACATCACCTTTGGTAGATTAGATACTGCTTCCCAGGATAGAAACCCCACATTTGAAACCAATATCGCTGCCCGTAAGGGTTGGTTCTCGGGCTAAATCATCTTGAGGAAAAACAGGGAACTGTGAAAAGTCTAGCAGTCTCCCTTTACGAAAGTTTCTTGATTAGCTGTGAAACAAGTAGAAGCGACTTTTTATCAAAATGTTCTATTTGTAAACTTCTCTGATTTATTATATGCGACGTATATTTTAAAAATTGATCTTATTGCTATGATATTATTTACAATAATTTACTTATTGTCACAAAAATAATAATATCAGGTTGTAATTTAACAATTTCTCATTGCGATGAGATTTGCTTACTTTTGATAATTTCTCTCTAAAAAGTGGATTCAAATCTACCTACAACTGTCTGTCTATCTCTTCGAATAAAACAAAGAAAATGTAAGACAATGCCTTACGGAATAAAATCGAATGTAAATTCTACATTTTAAAAATCTATTTTTCGTATGGCAATAGATCGAGATTTTCTCGAACGCCGATATTATTCATAACAGTTAATTCTTGCGTTAAAACAGGTGGGTATGATTGAAAAAAATTCAAATATGTACACAATAAAAACATCATTGGCAACATCATAAAAAAAATAGTCCCCTCAGAGGACATATACTTCCTAGCACTCCAGTAACCATAAAAACAAAAAAGGAATCATTTAAATTTGTCAAAAAAGGGCAGTAGGTAGCCTGCGCGCAGACCCGTTAAACCTTGGGCCGGCTGCACCGCAGGCTAGCAGTAGGTAACGAACCCGGTTCCTTCGCTATGACGTTTACGCGTTAACGCCGTGCGCTACGACAGCTATTGACATTGTGCAAAATACAATAAGCCAGTGAGCATAATCATAAAAGGAAAACCAACAACAAAAACACGTCTAAATAGCTATCGGGGTTCGAAAAAGGCTACACACATGGGATTTCCCCTCCCATAGATCATAGACAATTCTCGAAAAAAGCAATTCTTATCAGTTAGCTTTTAGCACCTTGAGGCGGAGTGAAGTCTCGTATGGGGTCCTCTGCCCCACTTTGAGTATTTCGCTAATATTGATTCGTATTGATTCCGTTAGATGCTTCGTAATAAAGCAGTTAATAAAAAGAAATTTTTGCGTTCCCCACTAGACCAGCAGGGAGAGGAAAAAGAAATTATGTACAAGCCATCTTGCGACTCGATTACAAATTCAGTCGATTCGCCTAAGTCTTATATGTCAGTTCGCCTACGATTCATATGTTGAAGCTTTAAATCTAAATTATTAAACGTCATTGCTCCTGATCCTTACAGCCTAAAAAGATAACCATAAGACACAAGTCGATACATTCCGGCTATCCTCGATGTCTAGAAAAAACAAACGCGCAAAAACACTTCAGCTGGAGAGAATTCCGACAAACAACGTGGAATTGAAAGAGCAGGCTAGTTGGAGCGACGACAAACGACTCATTAAGATGAACTGAAACTGGCTAGCAACCGCGGAGACAAGCGCAAATGCAATGGCAAAATATCGACAAAGACTTGGGTTTCTCCTAAATACGTGAAACAAAGTGTTTTGAAATTCAAACTAGGGACCAGGTATCCCCCGCCCCCTAAAAGAGCCTTGTTATTATAAAACTACCCATCATTACTGTAATGTCAAGTCTGTCAAGTACTTAATTGTAGAATAGTTCCACCTATCCAGATAAAAATTGATTCTCTGTTTGTTTTTCTTTACGTATTTATCGACTTCTGACAAAGATAGTATTCCTTTTTGCGATTGGTAAGTTCCTATGATAACCTTTCAAACGTATTCAAACAGATGTCGGCCGTAATTTCAGGGACCAATGGTAAGAGGTCCTTTTTATAGCTTTTCGAGTAGAGCAGCTCCAAACGTTAAAATATGGATGCGATATTTCAATGTTTCAGTTGATAACGAGCCTTAGAGGCTGTGGTGTCTAGGCCTCACTGTGAAGTTGAATTTCACTAAATTAAAAGAATCCTATAATCGACATTTAATAAAACCCCGCTATATTCTGAACTTCCTGTTCTTCCTGTGGGGTAAGATACTGCCTATATACCTGCACTCATTACATGAAGGTGTCGAAGTCAGTTTCTCCGGTTGCGTTACTATCCCGTGACCTATTTAATAAGGCTACTTCCGCTATGACTTCAAACTGAGCCAATATGTCTGCCATATCGATGGGTCTTTCATCTTGAATCCATTGCTGAAAGGGAAACATGCGTCACGCCAGTGAAGAAAACGCCTTAACACAAAAATGCACGCAAAAAATTCACGCAAATGAAGACCGTTTTTTGATGCATGAGTACATTATAGCCTGCGTGGTAGGCGTTAAATGGGGAAGGGGGAGGGGGAATTCAAGCCGGAGAGCGCGGCGGAAAATCTCCTCGCGCGCCGGAATTCCCCTTTCCCTTTTCAG